TCAATTCCCGGTCAGGGTACATACCTAGGTTTTGGGCCAGGTCCCCAGTTGGGGGTGTGCAAGAGGCAACCTATCAATCTTTCTCTCCTTCTCTTTCTCTCTCCCTTCCTTTCTAAAAATAAATAAAATTTTTAAACTTAAACATTCATTTGTATAAAGAATCTAAGTGGGATGAGAGGGAGCCAAATATATTAAGCACCTTCAATCATCAGAATCTTTAGAGAGTCTCTTATTTAATACTCACAACAACTCTATGAGTAATTGTCTCCATTTTACAGATGTAGAAACTAAGGCTTACCTAAGCTAAGTAACTTGTTCAGGGTCACTTAGTAAGTGAGAAAGCTGAAATTTTACATACTTATATGTGACCCCAAAGCCTCTGCTTTCTTCCATTGGTAAGCCGCGCTGCCTTTGGAAGCGGGGGTAGGCGGGAACAAGACTTACAGTATTTGATATATAATAGGAGGCAGGTTATGTTTGGTTTTTTCCCTCTAGTGAACCAGCCACAGAAAGAAACCAGTGTTGCTTGGGTTAAGTGGATGAGTATCTGGTGATACCAGTGGCACTGCCTTAACTTTAACCACTGCTGTCTCTTTCCGCCCGTTCTTCAGGCTAGTTCACATCAAGTACAGATATTTCCTGCTGAGTATCTTGAGCCTAACAGTAGTGATTATATGAAGTTTTGTGTAAATATTCACCTGACAAATTTGTCTCCTTTGAAAATTGCTACTTGTGAAACAGCAAATTCTCAAAAACAATCCTGAGCATGCCGTTTTCCCCCACAAAAGTGAGATTTCACAGCAACCTTAGGCTTGTTTGGAATGATAGAATAGTCCACGGTCTCTACATTTCTTTCAGTCTCCACTTGTAGCACTTTTCACCTCAATGGTCTTTTGTTACTAGCTTCTGTGAGCAAAGCTTAAAATTGAAGAATGCTGTTTCTGCCCTTCTACTCAAGGTTAATAAATACTTGTTGCATGCCCACTGTGCACTTAAGCTGTGCCAAGAGTTGAGCGTTTAAGGATAAATACATCATGGCCCCTGCCCAGGAGATATTTCTAGCCTATTAGAAAAGTCTGGAGATCACTGTAATTCAGGGAGATACGTCCAGTACAGTCAGTCATGACCAGCTCTTTCCAGTCCTATCTCTTGATGCTTATTCTTTTTTTCTCACCTCTGTCATCACTTCTGTGAATGATTCTTTCAGTGTTGATCTCACTTCTTTTGAGATATTTTCTCTGATCTCTCAGGACAAAGCTACACCCCCGCACCCCAACAATATGTATTTGTGTAGTACCTAAGTACTAATGGTACTCTATTGTAGATCCTATTTGCTTGGACTCTAAGCATGTTAAGGGCAAAAACTGTTGTCTTTGGCACCAACACATTGATGAGCACATAACCAGTGATCAGTAAATCTTTATTGGAATTCTGCTTGAGTGGGAGGCTTATAATAATGGAAGCAACATTTGAGCCAGTTCTTAAAGGACGAGTAGGAGTTTTCTAGATGGGTCTGGAAAAGAAATTTCAGGCCAAGGGAACAATTTATACAAACAGATGAAACAATGAAGAGCTTACAAGTGACTAGCAAGGCTTTCTAATTTCCACATGGATTTTTAGACACTGGTTATCAGTTGAAGGATGTTATCGCCTATAACTGTTCCTTCCCCCATTTATAAATCCATAAGTTGAAAATTAGTCTTTTACTTGAATATGTATCTGTGTGACCTATTAATAATTTCTGTTGGTCAGTCTTTCTGAAGGAAAGTCACTTTTCCCTACCCTCCCACTAGAGCTCACCTCCTTGAGACGCTCAGGTCATAACAAAGTAGTATGCTGAATTAAGCTTAGGAAGTTGTGATTAAAATAGCTAAGAGCTTACTCTCCTAGATAATCCAGTTTATATTGGTACTTTAAGCATAAATCACATTTAAATGAAAGCCTTACACTCTCCTGATTGATCTTGTAACCTGTTTACTGAAAACATAAAACATATTTTCATGTTAGTGTATGAGGTGATGTGCCTGCCAACAGAAATTTTGGAGTTGTACATGTCACTAAAGGTTCCGAGTGCTCAGCTCTTCCCTTTCTTTTTATAAGGCCTTGCTTGCTCTTCCCTAAATAACATAGGAAGAGATTCATAAATTTTTATGTAACCTCCCCCATTCCTAGAGGCAATAAGCTGTGGAGGAAAAATACTCTAAAATGAGAGTATCTTTTATTAGGTGACTATTAAGAATAGTGTGTTCTTATAAAGTTAAAGTGCGACTTTCCTTTGCATTTCTAAAATATAATACATGGAAAACTAGAATGAATTCAAGGCTTTGATTGTTACATTTTAAAGCCATCAGTGGGCCATGTATCCTCTCTGCTTGTCTGCTTTTACCAGCTGGCACAAAGTAAATATTGTTTGTTGGTCAAGGAACATTTATTGGCTTGGTACACAGGCAACAGAATTTGCATTTCTGAGAGATTTCTCATTGTAGGGTATGGACTTCCTTGGGAAATGAATGTATCTTTAGGAAGTAGGTATTTCCTTGACCATTTATACAAGAGCTGAAGTGAGTCCTAGAGTGAGAATCAAGAGACTTGGGTTTTAGTCCTGGCTCTGAGGAAGGCATTTAACCTCTTTGACCATCAGTGTCCTTCTTCTGCGGGGAGTAGAAGATTGAGCCAGCTGATCGCTAAGAATCTTGTCATTCTTTTATCTTTAAGTTTTATTGCCACCTTCACAATAACCTAAAGTCCGTCTTGAGCCAACCTAAGATGGGCATTTAAATTTGATGGTAAACAGCAGCTATACCAGGATCCATTAAGCTATCTGTTCTACTCTTGTGTCGTCTTGTCAACATAGATTCTACAGTACGGGGCGGGCGGGGCGGGGACACGGGGGTCGTGTGTGTGTGTGTGTGTGTGTGTGTGTGTGTGTGTGTGTGTGTGTGTGTGTACTGTGCCTGATTTAAACTTACTCACAGTAATACTTTTGCCTGGACTGTTCTGTCTGCTTGGTGTTGCTGTACAACAACCAGACTTCCTGTTTGGCCTGCATCTTCTAATTTGCTTTTTGGATTCATGATACAGAAATGTCATCCTCTTCCGTTTCTGACTAGCCTCTTTGTAATGACTAAGTTTTTTGTAATGTACATCTGGCTGCTCTTGACCTGGCCTCTCCTTTCTTGACTTTTTTTTCCTATAAGAACTGTGATAATTATTGCTTGCATTTATTGAGAGCTTTTCATATGTCAGGCACATTACAAAGGGCTTTTTTTAATGTCATTTCACCCGTACAATTGTCCTGCACAGTTTAACATTGTATTGCCCATTTACAAATTAGGAAACCAAGGCTGAGAGAGGTGAAGTAACTTACCTAGTGTTCCCACCAAGTGATAGATCTGAAATTAAAATTCAGTTGCCTCCAAAGCTCATCCTCTTCAGCAACATGCTGTGTTACGTTCATGATGATAGCGGTGACGATGATGGCGGTAGTATGCTGAGTGCCTACGCGGTGCTGAGCGGTGCATTTGCCACCTTTTGCCTCCCTGTTTTATCGTAGTGGAAACTACTATTGCATATTTTCCACTTTTGGGTTAATAAATACTCTTAGAAGGGCCAGGGTTCAAATGGTATAGAACAGTCTTCTTACATTGGAGCATTCTTTCAATGTATTTTTCCTTTTACTCTCTTTCTTATTTTAATGGTCAACATCATGTTTTTCTGACTACTACCAGTATTAACAATTAAATGTTGCCTGAGCATTTCTACATTTTTTTTTTCTTACTGGTGCCTTAGCATTATCGTTTTTTTTTTATTTGTTACCTTTGCTATTGTTTTCTGTATCAAAGCAGATAATGGGGATAAAATAATGAGAAAGGAGAAAGTGCTAAGGAAAGGCAAAAGAAAAGTCCAGATACTAGGACTCTTTCTGTGATTTCAGTTTGGAAAACAAATGTTTAAACTAAAAGCTCTGTGTTTTGGGTAGCTGACATATGTTGAAGGAATATTAGGGCTTTGACACTTAAAAACTTGGTGATATAAGACATGGGATTTGACCTCACTAGCCTTTGTTTTCTTATCTGATAATAGGGTAAATAATATATTCTTCACAACACAGTCCTGGTGATAATTAAATGAAATAACCAATGTAAAATTCCTTGATGTAATACTCCAGTTGTTAGTTCCCCATTTTACCTCAAGGGTTTGTGAAATAACCCAGAGTATATGGCCACTCATAAGTGTGTTAAGTGTGGCTTTTTTACATTTAGAAAATTTAGTGTTAGCATACACAGGCATGTACGTAAATAAAATTCATCGAGCTATAATCTTCCTGTTTATGTATTTGCCTATATGTAAATTAGTTATATCTCACTGCAAATGAAAATCAGTGTGCAAGCTGGACTTTTGGTTGCTGCATGTGGTTGGCTGATGGTTCCATGTGTTATACCCAGCATGTGGAACTCCGCCTTTGTATTCGCCAAGATCCTATGGTGGTTATTGAGCTTTAACAAAAAGAGAAATATTGTATAATACCTTCCAGTTTATTTCCATTTATATCTTAGTAAGCAAAGTTTTCAGAAATAACTCTTTTTATTTTTAGAGAAGGTATACTCAATCCTAAAATAATGTTCCTGATGTTATTAATTCCCAGTAGGTAGATCTCATGCTGCTTTGGGTATGCCGCTCACAGGTAGGAAATACAATTTTAGAGCAATCCGGGAAACGTGAGAACAGTCTGATATGTTTTAGGCAAGCCTGAGTTAAAAACATACCTTTGAGTGGATGTCTGTTCTCATTAGCCTGCTGCACGGAGCTCTGATGGGTTTTTTTATGTGATTAAAGTTACACATTCTTTGGTAGACTCTTGAGCAAGTTCCTTTTCTTCTGGAGAGCAGGAACCAAGCTTGATGTCAGGAAAAGTAGGTGTGGACTTCAGGGCTGTGCCGCTCAGCAGCTAGAATGTGGTTGGCAGTCTCCTCCCCTTCCTGCACTTCTACTCTTCACAGTGTGCACCCTGGAATGACAGGCATTCCTGTGTGAAGAGAGCCAGCGTGAAGACGTATTTGTAAGAACCACAAGTGCCCAGGCCAGGATACAGGGAGAGAGAAAACTCCAGCGGATTGACCTCATACCATTTCCTGATGTTTGGCAGTGATACTGAGAGAGGAGTGCACGTCCCCTCCTTATGTGGATTTATCTTTTAAGGAAAGTTCGCTTTGGTCCAGCACAGTTTGTTGTCGTGAGACACATCAGACAATATAATCATGGGGCAAGCTGATGTCTCCAGACCGGTAAATCCAGATGCAATTGGTGAGTAATAAAAGGCAAAGAAATAAAATCTTGACAAACAAGGCAGATCTACAGGTGAAGTTGAATATTTTATAGGAATTGGAATGTAAGGATTTTGATGTTTATAACTTTGGGGTGTTTATAACTTTGTGAAGAATGAATGAAAACATTATTAGTTATTTTTCACTCAGTTGTATTAATCTACCACACATAGTTTTGTTTTACTTGGTCCCTTTGGAGTTTTTTTTATATAATACTGCTAGGAAACCATCTGTTCATTTCTTGCCTTTGCAGAAGATAACTACAGAAACTAGTATTTAGAATTTGGTGGTGTTTTAGTAGTATTTGGCAGAGCTTGGACAATTGATAGATATATGTGGAATAGAACCAAAGTGTTGACTTCTTTAAACAGGACCACTTTAAATAATTGACTTAATTTTTCAACTCAGTTATACAGTTTCTAAATAACTCTCAGGACTTTTCCATTAAGGTGTTATTTCCACTTCCCATGAGGCAACACTTTGGTATAAATATTTCTGAAGTCAGTGCTTTACATATGAAGTGTTATCTCAGAGATAGCTAGAGATCAGGCTGATAATTATAAGTGTATGGGTATGAAACTCAGTGTAGCTACACTCAGAGTTTCAAACTCTTAAGTGAAAAGGAAGTCCATTGTTACTGAAGATTCATTTTCCCCAACTTGTGGGCTTTTGTATAAGATGAAGTTGGAAAGGAGGGAAAAATAGTTTTAAATGGTTGTTCATTAAAGGATTGTTAAGTAGAAGCAAAGTATAAGGAAATCCTATGAATCATTTCTTGGCATTAATTTTTAGAAAGATTTATACCTTTTCTTTGACTTAGGGAGCAGCATAAAACATACTCAGCTCTAGGCTGGGTTTTTTTTGTATGTGTGTGTGTTTTTTTCTGAAATGAAAAATGTTGATGACTTTAGAAAAGTATATAAGGGCAGGAGCACAGGTAATACTCCAAATGTCTCATGATTTAATATGATTTATTTTTCTAAAGGTATGTTTTTCTCCTGAGAACTTGCCAGATGAATTCTTACAAAGTATTTTTTTCTCTTTTTTTTATGTTTTACTGAATCTGAGGCACATGGATCACAAAGTGAGTCACTCAGGAACAGATTTTTAACACCGAAGTCAGGACTGGATTCACTTTACCTTCCTTGATCACCAAGGCTGGGTCCATATCAATTTACTAACCCCTTTTTTATTTCTTAAATAAAATGTTTTATAGGTATCGTAGGAAAGGTATAGAGAAAAATATAAAGAACCTCCAGAGGCCAATATCCAGCTTTCAAAATGAAATTTAAAACAGATATATCCCATCCCATCCTACCCATCTCTCTATGTCCACATTCCTTTATGATGACATTTTACTTTTTATTCTCAGATGTAACCACTCTCCAGAATTTGGTGAAATTAATTTAGGGCCACTAAATTTTCCAGTGATTTCTACTCCAAAGATTAGTTCTTTATTAACAAGTATAGGAGGGACCTGTGTAATGGTAGGCATTTATCTATGAGACAGAAATGAGAGGTCTTTCAAAAACAAGAAATTGCTAAGCAGATATAACTTAATGATGGGTAACGATATTTATGAAGAATGCCCATCTAACATTTATATACTATACAAAAAATTTCATCTGAGTAAAGTTTGATATTTCTTATGCTTCTAAAAAAAAGTCAGAATCATATTAATCAATTTTTCTAACTACCAGTATTCCCTAATAAGAGACCTATAAAAAAAAAAGAAAAAGAAAAAGAAATCATTCAGGTACCTAACTAAAATTTTGTGTTCTCTATAGATTCTATTTGAGGGTTTTATTTCCGATTATCTAGAAAATTTCTGGATGACTATAACCTATTGTAATGGACAGACTCTGTTTATATTATTTGCAATTCAGGGTGTAGTCTATTTGAGCAAATTCAGAATGGGTCGTGAAGGCTTAACATTGACAACTCTGAGGACTTATACCATTGTTTTAAAGGCTTTTAACCAAACATAACAATTTATAATGAAATTCAAAAAGCATATCAGTGGGTAAAGTGTCTGAAGAGTCTTACCAAATTCTTTGGAAGGATATACGTCCAAAGCAAATTGAGACATAAATAGTTTTTGAGTAATTAAAAAAAAAGATGTAAGTAATTTGTTTATGGTTCTAGACCTGTAATATAGCAGTTAGTTTTGAGCTTTAAAAATTGATGATACTACTGCCCCAGCCAGGTGGCTCAGTAGGTTGAAGAATTGGCCCTGTGCACCAAAGTGCCAGGGGTTCAGTTGCCAGTCAAGGCACATGCCTGGATTGTGGGTTCCATCCCCAGTTGAGGCACATGCGGGAGGCAGCCAATTGATCTCTCTCTCACATTGTTGTTTCTCTCTCTCCTACTCTCTTCCTCTCTCTCTCTCCTCCTCCTTTCCTCCCAATATCAATAAACATGTCCTCAGGTGAGGAGTAAAAAAAAAAATAACTGAATGAATGAATGAATGAATGACTGAATGAATGAATATAAAACTGAATATGAGACAGAAATGAGAGGCAAGCCAAGTGATATAAAATAAGTTACTGAATGTAATTAATTGATTTATTAATTTATTATTTTCAAGGCACTGTTTAGGTATAACTCATATCTATATCCTTAGGAAGTTTACTTTCAGGTTGAGAATTTAAACTATTAAAAGAAAAAATTCAAAATACTTATAAATCTGCAAGTTAGTTGACTCCCTTGACTTATGATATATGTCCAGGGCTGTTAACCAAGAAGAGGCTGCTTTCAAACACATAATCTTTGTCTGAGACCCATATGCAGCTTTATGAGATGTTATGTCAGCATCCAACTAGGGTTTTTACTATAGGATCTTTCTAACAGCCTGCGTATTCAAAAGCTGAGTAGGAGTTTATGCCATGGTGTGCAGTCAAGGAAAAAGTAGTTATCCTCAACAGTTCATATTTTTAAAATTATCCTTCAGTGAAATATGTCCATAAGAGAAAGTCTGTAGATTTACTCAGATAAGACTTTAAAATAATACTTTGTTGTTTTTTTTCTTTTTAAAGACTGAACTGTTTATTTTTGGAGAGAGGGAAAGGGAGGGAGAAAGAGAGGGAGAGAAACATTCATAATAAGTGAGAGGTTGCCTCTTGCACACGCCCCTGGGCCAGGCCCGCAACCCAGGCATGTGCCCTGACCGGGATATCCAACCAGCGACTTTTCACTTTGGATGATGCTCAACCAACTGTGAGCCATGTCAGTCAGGGCAATACTTTGTAGTTCTTTTTTTTTTTTTTTTTTTTAAAGATTTTGTTTATTTATCTTCAGAGAGAGGGGAAGGGAGGGAGAAAGAGGGAGAGAAACACTGATGTATGAGAGAAATATCAATCGGTTGCCTCTCACATACCCCGAGCTGGGAACCTGGCAACCTGGCCCACAACACAGGAGTGTGCCCTGACTGGGAATTGAACTGACAGCCTTTTAGTTTGCAGGCCAGCACTCAATCCACTGAGCCACACCAGCCAGGGCAGGACAATACTTTGTAGTTCTTGATCAGCATAAAAGTTGTTTCTGTGTTCACCAGAATACTTCCTATCATATTAAAACTACTAGCTAATTAGCACATGTCCTTACATTAGACACAAGACCAAAGAATTTAAGCTCTACCTTCTCTTTGTCTTTCCATTTCCCATCTCTAGCTTTTTTCTTTTCTTTTTTGACTCTCCACGTACCTTTTATTCAATAATTAGCCTCTTTTTTCTGTTTTTCTTTTACATAGGAATTTGTTGTTTTAAAAGGCACTGTACTGTAATATTTAATCTTACCTACATTTCTTTTTCCATTGTCATTTGATTTATTTTGCTTTGAAATTTCATGTACATGATAATCTGGGTAGTTCTAGGAATGACAATTTAGAAATGTATCGTCATTTGGAGGCAAAATTAGTAAGGAGATTGCTGTCTGAATAAAAGTTAATGTAGCTATGTAACAACATTAACATTCAAATAAATAATAGATGGGTTAATTAAAAATAAACATCATAGGACTTTAAAGAAAAACACTTGGCATTATATCATCACCAGAGTTAGCAGACACATTTCTCATACTTATATAGGTCTAATAATAAATGCTTTCTTCTGAGGAAGAAGAAACAGGCATATGTTCCACATAAAATCCAGGAATGAGGAGGAAGCCATAGTATAGGATTCTGTCATGGACTCCTTATAGGATTTCCTTTTTTCAAATGTGGAATATCAATCAAAAATTATTGTCCCCTCTTACTCCTCCATTGGATTTGTGAATAGCCTGTTGTCACAACAACATACCCCTCTTTCTACTTGCAAGTGCACTTTGGGAAGTTTAAGGGTTGTTTTGTTTGTTTGTATTAAATGAGAGACTATATTATATTCTGGCACCTCTGGGGGGAAAAATCTTTCTCTTGGAATTTTTATTTAAAAAGTGTATGTATCAAGTGTCAAGGGCGAAGCAGCATCACTTCCTGATGCAGTCAGGGTCAGAAAACTGTATTTTCCTAGAGTTTGAATCTCAGACCTAATTGTACCTGCAAGTATTGTACATTACAGAGAGTGACCTTCTCCCTGACTATCTTCTTGAGTGCTTTGCCCAATTCTATTTCCCAAAGGTCATAACTATGCAGTTCTTCCAAGGGAAGTTACGGGCATTCACTAGACAAAGCCTGCTTTGTTCATTAGTGGCAGCTTTTGCTTTCTGTAATTTTGTTGAAGTTTTTTAAAACAGTCCTTTAAGAAGGCAAAAATGAGTAAGTACAATAGTATAAGTACCATAAATTAATGTTCTCCGTTTACAAAGTTCTGATGCCATTAAAACGCTTGGTATAAAAGCAAGATCTGTTATAAGCTAAATGGACATAAAAGTTAAACAGACAGAACTATTAGATTATAAGTATAAAACACAGTATATGTAAGTGAAGTCATTATGCTATACACCTTAAACCAAAAAAAAACAATAATCGGCACTTCTTGATAATGG